GCAGGGAGCCCGATGTGGGACTCGATCCCAGGACCCTGGGATCATGACCTGAGCTGAAGGCAGACGCTTAATGACTGAGCCACCCAGGCACTCCTATTTAATTTTTTTTTTAAGATCTTATTTTTGAGTAATCTCTACATCCATCGTGGGGCTTGAACTCACAACCTCGAGATCATGAGTCTCATGCTCCACCCACTGAGCCAGCCAGGCGCCCTTTATTTATTTTTATTATTTATTGCAAAAGAAATGCATCCTTGTTGCAAAAGGTTATACAGAAGCATATCAAGTGAAAAGTAAAATTGAAACTCCCCTTCTCCCCTCCCCCGTCAATCCCACTCATCCCCATGGATGATGGTAAAACCTGAGGGGAAAGTCTTTCTAAAACCAGTTCTACTTTTTCTATGCATTTATGTATACATAGGTTTTGTTTCAGATTAAATCCTTCCTCGCTCCTATTTCTGGGTAAGGAATCACCAGCCCCGTAACCGGTAGCCATCACTGTATCTCACGGTTGGGGGTTGACTGGGCTGAAAGAGGCAGGCACTTCTTGACTAAGGGCCCTGTGATTGCAGGCAGGTTGGTGGCAGGGGCAGCAATCACTGAGGCTTCCTGTCTTGCTTGTCTGTCTTGGGGCTGAGAAGGGACTCAGTGAGCTGGGACTGGAACAGCAGAGGCTTCTTAGGCACCTCTGTCCTCATGTGGTCATGGCTCCAGGGTAGCCAGAATTCCTCCGTGGAAGCTCCGAACTTCAAAGGTATATGCCCCTTTAGGGAGAGCCAGGAAAAAGCTTTTGTTGCCTTCATTAACGTGGCTGCTGCAGAAATCACAGCAACATTTCTGCTGCTTTTTACTCAAGACAGACTGTGAGGCTGCCCAGGTTCAAGGGTCGGGAATGTAGATTGGTGGGAAGTGCGACAGGGAAGTTATAGAAACCATCACACGTGGCTCTGGCTTTAACATAAATGGTGTTACTATAGGGACACCTGGGTGGCTGAGTCGGTTGAACATCCGACCCTTGGTTTCAGCTCCAGTCGTGATCTCAGGGTCGTGGGATCAAGCCCTGCTTGGGCTCCATGCTCAGCACAGAGTCGGCTTGAGATTTCTCTTTCTCCTTCTTGCTCTGCTTCTTCCACCCCCCCATGCTCATGCTCTCTCTCTCAAATAAATAAATCTTTTTTTAAAAAAATGGTGATACTATAAAGAGTTAATGCTATACCTATCATCCTGGGATTTAACATTTTCTCCTGGAGCTTTCTTCATGTCATTATACATCCATCCACAGCATTCTTTGTTACAGTTGCATAGGTATCTGTGATGCACCTGTTAAATGAGTGATAAATATCTATTGATGGACCCAGTTTTCCCTTTTTTCAAATAGGAGTGGCTTCATTTACTCACACTGGAGTAGACAGTGGCAGACCAGCCTCTCATTCTCTCCCGAGTGCTTTATTTCTGGACAAAGCCCTTGACATTCAGATGGGAGAGGTTTGGGTCCTCCCTCATTCTCCACAGCAGCAGAGAATATCCCCTGGAAAATGGGATGGGACAATTTCACCCACAATTTAGGGAAGGAAGGAGGCAGAGATGTCAGTTAAGGTTACCTACCATCTTGGTCTAGCGATCCAGGCCTCTTTTTTTTTTTTTTTTTTTTTTAAATACTTTGTACCTGAAGAACTTTGTTGATCTTTGTCAGCAACTTGATTGTTGAATAAATACACAAAACTAACCTTGACAAGGGAGTAAAATTTCGGAATAGTCCTTTAAATTCTGATTTTTTTTTTTAAGATGTATTTATTTATTTAGAGAGAGAGAATCTCAAGCAGACTCCCTGCTGAACATGGAGCCCGATGCAGGGCTCGATCTCACGCCCCTGAGATCATGACCTGAGCCGAAATCAAGAGTCAGTTGCTTAACCGACTCAGCCACCGAGGTGCTCCCCGCTAAATTCTGATTTTTAATACGTTTTTCTTCTAGAAGGTGGTAGGGTTATTTTTCTCTTGGTTTGTTTGTTCAGTTGATTGCTATTTTATAGAGCTGGTTAGCCCAACTAGATGTTTGTAGGAAAGAGACAGGAATGTAAATACCCTGAATTTTAAAGATGTAAGGTTTGTGGAAAACTGGACAAGTTTCTCTTATTTAAACTTGTATATTTTATGTCAATCAGGTTGGAGTGATTGATTTTTCCCTCTACCTTAAGGATGTGCAGGATCTTGGTGGTGGCAAAGAGTAAGTACCATGCTGCATGCTGCGCTCTTCACATGTTTCATGAAATTCTCGGCAAAGAATGCTACATTTGTGTTTGCTTTGTGGGCCATTTTCATTTTCATTGGGCGTTTTTAGTTACAGAAGTAATACATTAATATTCCCATATGCAAGGAATTGAGCTCTGCAGAATAGAGAGGACAAGTGAAACATCCCCATTCACACTGTCCCCCCCCATCTCCAGCTCAATCCCCTCAGAGGAAGCTGCTCGTGTCTCCTCCCACGGCTTTTCTGAATGCCTTGCGGGGATATATTTGTTGATAATATAATTTGCCTTGTGGTTTGTTTGAATATAAATGGGACGGTACTATTATGTAGACATAAGTTGCCCTTGGACTTGTTCTTTGACCCTGGTGTGTCTTGGGTGTCTCTTCATGCCACGTGTAGCTCTCCTTCATGCTGCTAACAAGAGCATTCCTTTAAAGGAGCTATTCTGGGAAAAAAGAGAAGTAAACAAAGCAAACAGTGTGTATAACATGCTACCATTTGAATTATGATAAAGAATATACATCCGTATTCATATGTTGCACTTCCACACGCATGGCCCACTTCAAGAGGAGCATATAGAACCGCTCACACTGGCTGCGTGGAGAGGAATTGGCCGGGAGGCCAGCATGGGGGGTAGTTTCACTGTAAACCCTTGGGTTGTGTTTGACACTTTTACCACCTGTCTTTCCAACGTGTTCCCATAGGATTTTCCCAGTCTCTGTCCCAGCGGCACACCGTATCTGGCAGTGGGAACCCCATTAATGCTTCAGGCATCTTGAGTACAAGGATTCACCCACTTGAGACTTAAACAAAAATACATTCTTGGGGCGCCTGGCAGGCTCAGTCGGTAGAGCATGCAACTCTTGATCTTGGGATTGCAAGTTTGAGCCCCATGTTGGGTGTAAAGATTACTTAAAAATAAAATTTATATATAGTTAATGTAAAGAAATGGAAATAAACTGATTATCAATAAGGAGATAATTGAATAAATTATGGAACATTCAAAATATTCTACTCTGTGATATATTATGCAGACATAACAAATTTGACCGACAGGGTATAGTAGACTTACAGGGATTTCCACAAGGTATTATTGAGTGAGAAAAGTATGATACTGAGAAGTGTATACAGTTGCCCCCTGAACAACACAGGTGCAAACTGCACAAGTCTACTTATACACAGATTTTTTTTTCAATAAATACTACAGCACTGTAAATGTGTTTTCCTTATGATTTTTTTTTTTTTTAAGATTTATTTATTTTAGAGAAGGGGAGGGAGGGGCAGAAGGAGAGGGACAGAGAATCCCAAGCAGATGCTGCGCTGAGTGTGGAGCCTGGCTCGGGACTGGATCTCGCAAACCTGAGATCAGACCTAAGCTGAAATCAAGGGTCAGCCACTTAGGGACGCCTGGGTGGCTCAGTTGGTTAAGAGACTGCCTTCGGCTCAGGTCATGATCCTGGAGTCCCTGGATCAAGTCCCACATTGGGCTCCCTGCTTGGCAGGGAGTCTGCTTCTCTCTCTGACCCTCCCCCCTCCCATGTGCTTTCTCTCTCTCTCTCAAATAAATAAATAAAAATCTTAAAAAAAAAAAAAAAAAGTCAGCCACTTAACCAACTGTACCATCCAGGCACCCCCCGCTCCACCTTATGATATTCTTAATAACATTTTCTTTAACTTATTTCATTGTAAGACTGTAGTATATAATACACAATAACACACAAAATGCGTATTATGTAATTGGTAAGGCCTCCAGTCAATAGTAGGCTATTAGTAAAGTTTTTTTTTTTATATATATTTTTTAAGATTTTATTTATTTGACAGAGAGAGACACAGCAAGAGAGGGAACACAAGCAGGGGGAGCGGGAGAGGGAGAAGCAGGCTTCCCGCCAAGCAGGGAGCCCGATGCGGGGCTCGATCCCAGGACCCTGGGATCATGACCCGAGCCGAAGGCAGATGCTTAACAACTGAGCCACCCAGGTGCCCCTATTAGTAAAGTGTTTGAGGAGTCAAAAGCTATATGCAGGGGTTGGCACCCCTACCCTTGCATTATTCAAGGGTCAACCATATATCATTTTTGTAAACAAACCTAAGAGATCCCTAATATATTTTTTGTGTTTCAATTACATATCCTATCTATATAATACAGATGGATATTATGATCATATGCATATAGGCTCAACAGACTATTCATGTGGGTTACCTGCAGAGCTATGTGAAGGGCAGAACAGGTAAAAGAAAAAAATCGACCATGCTGAATAACGCAGCACCTGTGTGAACATACGTATGTATGTATGTATGTATGTAAAGAAATTGGGGGCTAGCGGGGAGTCTAACTTTAAAATGTTAAACCCTTTTTTTTTTTTTAGCCAGACCGGTCAGCTTTATGTTTTGAAAGCCTCTGGTCTCCTTTTCTGAGCCACCCTCTTTCCCTCAGCACGACAAGGGCTACTTCATTTGCCACCTCGATGGAGGGCCATTTGCACATGGCCGTTGGTGTTTGCATCTTGTGTGCCAGATGGCTTTCTCTCCTCTTCCCAAATGCCTGGCCTGCCAGGGCAGGAGGGTGTCTGCCTGAGGCCTGCTCACGTTTCTGCATCTCCCAAGGCCCTGGCTGCTGTCCCCACCACACCCCACCCCTTGGCCAGCTTTGCTCTCTGTTCACTCCGGGACCGGGACCAGGCAGACATTATTACTGAGGTCTGACTGTCCCTTGGTTTCCTGATGATACTGGTACTTCTTCAAGGTGATCGGCACATTTGGGGGATGGTTACAAAGTATTAGTCACGAATTAAAGGCATTTCTCTCTTTTTATGCTGTTTTTAAAAGGCACGAAAGAATTACTGATGTCCTTGATCAAAAAAATTATGTGGAAGAACTTAACCGGCACTTAAGGTAGGACTCGCTCCTTTTTCCAGTGTTACAGTTCCTTCTCAATACCTGATAATCGTTTCATGGAACATTTTTGAATCGCCATATATATTCATAACTGACTTTTTTTCCAGTCCAAGAAAGAAGGTTATCATGCTTGTGTGTACAGACTGGAGAAGTATGATTTCTTGATAAGGAGCTTTGGGAATTCTTGGGTTCTTTGTTTTGTGCAGTGAGACAATGTAGAAAGCAAACAGATTACACCTTGAATCTCCACCCCTCGCCCCTCAGCCACCCAGTTGGAAGTTGGGAAGCACTGTTCCTGCTGGGTATCAGCACACATCCCTCTGGGGTGCCGGGGCAGGATGATAAAGGGGTTGGAAAACCACTGGGCTGGACCTTTGACAACAGTTCAGTAGCAAATAGCAGGCGTCTGTACCTTGATTTTTCATTTTATTGGAAAGCTGCTGCTCTGTTTCATGAAGCACTAGCTGATGGCGGTGTTGGTGGCAAGCGGGCAGAGATGCTCAGTCTGATTGGTGGGGAGACCTGTTGTCACTATGTCTCTGAATCCCCTCCGAGAGTGTACAGTGCACGGTAGCCCCGCTCCACGGGAGCAGCCCAGCTGCCCCAAGCACCCGTGAGACCACTCAGGGAGCTGGCACGTCATTGCAGAATGGGGAAACCTGCTCCACGGTCTCCTTAGGTATGATGTTGGCTGCTATTGTGAGAGATTCTTGATAGGTCCCTCATTTATGGAGCGTTTTTATAAGGAACAGATGTCAGATTTTAACAAATGCCCTTTCGCATCATTAAGGTAATCATGACTTTTATCCCTTAATCTGTATTTGATTAGTAGATGTCTTCATACTGAACCATTTCTGTATCACAGGGATAAATTCTACTTGATTGTAGTTTTATTTTTTAAAGATTTTATTCATTTGTGAGATAGCATGAGTGGGGAGAGAGCCAGAGGGAGAGGGAGAAGCAGATACCCTTCTGAGCTAGGCGCCTACCTCAGAGCCCGATCCCAGGACCCTCCCTGGGATCATCACCTGAGCTGGAGGCAGACACTTAACCAACTGAGCCACCCAGGCATGCCTTTAGAGTAGTTTTAATAATCATTTTTTAATATGTAAACTGACCTAATTATTCTGTAGTTTTTCCTCTCTGGCATGGTGTCAGGTTTATGCAGCTTCACAAAATGAATTAGGAAGAGTTTCTGGTTCATGAGCATTATTTGCTCCTTGAAAACACAAAGCTTGGGGCACCTGGCTGGCTTAGTTGGTGGAGCATGCGACTCTTGATCCCAAGGTTGTGAGTTTGAGCCCCATACTGGGTGTAGAAATTACTTTAAAAAATTTTTTCTTAAAACAGAAAATGTGAAGCTCAAAGCCTTTATTGAGGCAGTACTTTGCCAACTTTTCAGTTTTTCCTAAGTTTGGTTATCTAGATTTTTTCCTTCTGAGGATATGTCTCTTTTGGTCATTTAGATTTTCTAAGAAAAGCATAAATTTTACTGACATTTTCTAAGTTATATAGTCGGAATAGAACTGAAAATTGTGGGGCGCCTGGGTGGCTCAGTCGTTAAGCGTCTGCCTTCAGCTCAGGTCATGGTCTCAGGGTCCTGGGATCGAGCCCCGCATCCGGCTCCCTGCTCAGCAGGAAGCCTGCTTCTCCCTCTCCCACTCCTCCCCCTGCTTCTGTTTCCTCTCTTGCTGTGCCTCTCTCTGTCAAATAAATAAATAAAATCCTTAAAAAAAAAACAAAACTGAAAATTGTATACTTGTAAAATCTGTAATTCCCAGGGAGCCTGGGTGGTTCAGTCGGTTAAGCATCTGATGCTTGATTTTTGGATCAGGTCTCAATCTCAGTCATGACTTCAAGGCCCCACCCCGACCCCCGTTGGGCTTCACCCTGAGTTTGGCGCCTACTTAAAAAAACAAAAGCAAAAACCCTGTAATTCCCTCCACATCTTTTGTGTTCCCTTTCTCATTTTGTGTCACTGTGTTTTAATTTTTCTCCCCCCTCAATGCTCAAACCTTGATTCATTAGCCTCGCCAGGTTTGTTTCTTTGTCCTCCCCTCACTGGCAAAACGCACCAGTTTGTGGCAGTAGGGCCTGTTGCCTAAAAGTACAGGTTCTGGAGCCAGACCACCTGGGTTCAGATCCTGGCGCCCCTCCAGAGGGGGATGAATGTGAGTGAATTTTCTAGTGTAAAGTTACGGTTTCCTCATCTGTGAAATAGGTAACAGTAGGATTTGCCCACAGTGTCGTGGGGAGGGTCACATGAGCTGATGCATTGAAAGTGCTTAGAACAAACAGGGCCTGGCACATCATCCAAAAAGGAAGTTATTGCTTGTTAATGTTGCTGTATTTTTGTTTATCAAATTTACATTCGTTTGACATGTTTTTCAGTAGAAAAGTAGTACGGATTAAAGAGTATTTGAAAAATGAGGCAAAGTATAAAAAAAAATTAAAAAACCACCTTTGCTCCTACAACCCCAAAGTACCAATATCTTCTTACAGATATTGATCTGTATACATGGCCGCCAGCACGTTTTGGTTCCCATCTATCGTGTTAGGGAGAAAAAAACTATTTCCTTTCCAGTTGGCTAAAATAGAAATGGATAGCATATTTTGGGGGAAAGACATTGAAATCTTTGTAGTAAATGTATACACACGCACCCATACATACATATTTAGAATTCTCATCTCTGAGTTCGTTGGAGACCCTTGGCTCTCCATCCATCGCACAGGAAACCTACGAATCTGTTCTCATTGTTCACAGCCTGGGGAAACAGCCTTTATAAGCTCACTGTTACTTAATGTGTTGTTTTCTCTAGCTGCACAGTTGGGGATCTTCAAAGCAAGATAGATGGCTTGGAAAAGACGAATTCAAAACTTCAAGAAGAGGTTTGTAACTTACTGAAGTTCTTAGAACAGAATGGCCCAAGGTGAAGAGACGGTATGGTTGGTGTATCCGACCAGAGCTTCTCGCTGGTCGGAATGGGAATTGCTAAGTTTGGATTAAACTGCATGGGGGGGTCAGGCGTTCTCAGAGTTCTGCATCCTCAGAATGTCCATGTTCAGCACTGTCTGGGGCTTCCTGCGAGCCGGTGCAGCTGATCATGAGCCAGTTCTAAGGGACTTAGGTCTTACCACCTCACAGTGCACCCGGGGAAGACCAGGCGTCCTTGGGAAAGCCCAGCTCCTGTGGTGAATGTGCTTCTCTCTTCCTCTTTACCCACCTTCCTCTGATGTAGTCTGTCCCCCTGCTGCCCAGAAGGCACAGACTCTGTTATGAGGTAAAAGTAACCCTCGCCCACCCCTTCTGTGTTTCGGCCTCTCAGGAGCATGGAACCAGTCTCCCCACAGTGTGGTCTTTCTCTGCTTTCTCACTAGGAAGAGAGAGAATGAAAGGACAGGAAGAAGGAGGGCTGAGGCCGAGGAAGAAAGCTTGCTGCCAGCTGCCCGGCAGTCTCCTTGGTGGACACATCTTGTCTCCTGTTAGCAGGAGGGGGGTTGCTCAGCCTTTCTGAGGCTTTCCACAGGTAGCGGTCCCTGGCTACTCGGGCCTCCCCACCAGGTCTCCCTGGGGAGGAAGAGGGCTGTGACAGGGGCCAGGGCGTGACCCCCACCTCGGTGTGGAGGCAGGTTATGGCCAAAGGAGAGACGCAGAGCATGCCTCTGTATGGAGGGCCCAGTTTAAGGCATCCTTTAAACTGACTGCTCTCTCCCACGGAGCCAGCCCTGAAAAGCTTTAAGGAGAGGAGCTCAGATTTGTGTGAGGAGAAGGAGATTCAAAGGTGGCATTCATAGATGGGCTTCCTGGGAGCAGCTTCACCACACTTAGAATTGGAGGACCCCGTTTCCCTTGGGTGGGTGGGCCTCTGGGCCTCAGTTTAGGTAGGCAGGTCTTTGGGCTTCATGTTCTCATCTCCAGATTAGACGATAACCCATACCTTACAATGTTGTTGTAGAAATTAGGTAAGTGTTAATAAATGTGCCTAATACAACACTTGGCACGTGGAGACATTAGTTGGATTTTAGATCAAACAGATTGATCTTTTGTTCTCCCTGGCGAGGTGGCATACTTTCAGTGACGGTCTAATTTTAGCTTTTGGAACTAAACAGCTGGGTTATTTTTTCCTTTAAAGGCCAACAATTGTAATAGAAAACATGCTTTAGAAAAAAGTTCCTCTCTTCAGGGTGTGCTCTCTCCGTCTTCAGAGAGCAGATGGGAATTAGTGTCCAGCTTTTGCCTGCTTCTTCCCTTGTAGCAACTAGCACCTCCTAGAGCCTTAAAGTTTCTTATTTAGGTGCAGCAGCTTATGGTTAGTCGTGAGTTCTGAGTCCCCTTGGACTTAGATGCTGTTGACGAAGAGGAGCAAGGAGTTCAGTGGTTCAGGGCCCCCCTCAGTGAGTGACCCCAAGAGCACAGCCAAGTTCCGGTCTTCTTTCCCCTTCCCCAGCCTTCGCTTCTCTCTCCAGGCTGTGTTCGGAGGCTGGATAAGGAGAGGTTGGTGGGTGTGCTCACGCCTCTGCCTGCCTCTCCTGAGAGCCTCCCTTCAGCAGGTCTGTGAAGGTGTCCTGTTTGTATACACTTTGCCCCAAACTGTGGTAACTCAAGGACAGGAAGATGCTCTCCAGGGCCTGTCTTCAGTGGTTTGGTTGTGATTCCTCCCCCAGAAGGCTTTCACTCTCCCTCTAGGGATAAAATATCCTTTTGCTTCTTGGCTGGAAAAACTGAAAAGAATGAAGAATCAGAGCAAAAGCCCATAATCCCTTTGCTAAGTAAGAGCTACTGTTATCATTGGTGTTTACATAGTCCCCAACTTTTCCTACCCATTTTTAACCTAGGTGATTTTTTTTTTTTGATTAGAGATGAGAACATCCTTTATAAACCTGCCTTTTTTCCGTATTGATATTCCACCCTAAGTATATTCTCAAGTCATTAAAAGCCTTTGCAGACATTCTCATAACTACATGTTTGTCTGATGCTCCCACTGTCATTCGTTAAACCTTTATTCTAGTATTGGACATTCAGGTGTCTGTCATAGTTTGTCTCCGTAAATTTTTTACATTAACTAGTTGGCTCTCATTTTTTTTAAAACTGTGTCAATATATTACCTATTCAAAACCAAGAAATAAAATAAAAAAAATATCAAATACGTGGAAATCCATCGTCACTTGCGAAGGTGCCAGACGTCAGCTTTTAAATTTGGAACGGTAAGATTAATTTTGACGTTAAGAAACATAAAAATCTTTCTTTATCAGCTTTCAGCTGCAACAGACCGGATTTGTTCGCTTCAAGAAGAGCAGCAACAATTAAGAGAACAAAACGAGTTAATTCGCGAAAGAAGTGAGAAGAGCGTGGAGGTGAGATGCTGGCCCCACGGCAGGGTGGTGCGCCGCACGGACGCACACGTCATGGACGCGCGCCTGCCGCACCCACACGCACGTCATGCACGCGCGCGTTCCCGGCCGACCTCAAGCTCCCTGTGCGGTGGTGACGCAGGCCGCACGCACGTACACGTCCCGCACGCATGCATCCCCGGCAGACCTCAAACTTCCTTTGCGGTGGTGACGCAGGCCGCACGCAGTGCGCGGCTGCCGTGTTTGGTGCCCCTGCGCCATCTTACCCCGCTCGCGGGCCGCGTGGACCGCTGCTCCCGCACCTGTGGGCCCTCGCGCTCGGAGCCTCGGCTCCGGTGCCGGGGGCTCTGTGATGCCACCCCCGGCGCCGTTGGTGGGCCCTCCCCTCCGCCCCTGCTGTCCCAGCTCTTTGCGCCTCCCGGCGTGAGAGACCCGCTGTGCTGTGCTGCAGAGCTGCTGGCTCGCAGCCGTCTTACCTGATGACCGGAGAACAGAGAGGCCGTAGCCGGTTCATCTCGAAACCCACCCAGTGCTGAAGAACATGCCGGATGAATGAATCCGCGCTGAATGGGGGCCTTTCCCACTAAGAACAACTGCTCTGCTTTAAAGAAAATTAAATGCAAATCATTTTCCGAACCTAACTTTTTAAAAGTCTGTTGGCTTGCTTTCATCCTTCAAGTTCAAAGAATTTTTTGAGATGTCTTTTAACCTTTCTCTAGTATGCTTAAAAAATAGGAATTATCCTACATCTTTAAAAATTATGGCACTTTTTTAATTTTTTTTTTCTCTTAGTTTAAATTGGCTCCATGCCCAAGGTGGGGCTTTGAACTCATGACCCTGAGATGAAGGGTCACATGCTTGACCGACTCAGCCAGCCAGGCATCCCGATGGCATATTTTAAAATACTTGTAGTTTGTTCGTTTCCATAAGCAAACCATTCCTCTGGGTGTTCTTGTTTGATACAGATAACAAAACAAGACACAAAAGTTGAGCTGGAGACTTACAAGCAAACTCGGCAAGGTCTGGATGAAATGTATAGTGATGTGTGGAAGCAGCTAAAAGAAGAGAAGAAAGTCCGTTTGGTGAGTGTGCAGAACTGAGTGTCTTTAGAAGGTATTCCCCAGTAGCCCGCCAGGTTCTTCGTCTGCACGTTTCACACACGTGCTTAGATCTGCTTTTAAAAACAAATGAGTTTTTTGGGACACCTGGGTGGTTCAGTCCATTAAGCATCTGCCTTCGGCTGGGGTCATGATCTCAGGATGGTGGGATCCAGCCGGGAGTCGGACTACCTGCTCAGAGGGCAGTCTCCTCCCTCTGCCTCTCCCCAACTCATGGTCTCCTTTCTCTCGCTCTCTCAAATAAAATCTTTAAAAAAATAATAATTTTTCATATAAAGTTTTGTTTTTTAATTTTTCTTTAAAGATTTTATTTATTTGGGAGAGAACAACAAAGCACAAGCAGGGGGAGCAGCAGAGGGAGAGGAAGAAGCAAGCTTCCCGCTGAGCAGGGAGCCCGATTCGGGATTTGATCCCAGAACCCTGGGATCATGACCTGAGCCAAAAGCAGACGCTTAACCATCTGAGCCACCCAGGCGCCCTATATAAAGTTTTTAAAGTGTGAAAAAATATATTCATGGAGAAGCAGAAATTGTCCCTTTTAAAAAAAAAAAAAATTTTTTTTAAGGGGTTATTTAGTTTACCACTAAGTTCTGCGTTTTTTCCAATTTTATAAACCTTTGTCAGGGATCACCGTGAGACCAGATTCATGGTTGCTTTGCTAGTACAGCTCCCTCAGTCACAGCCTCTAGTCTGCTTCTTTCCACCTAATATCCGTGCCAGTGACCAGTATTTTGTTTTTTGTGTTATTTTAGTAGGCTCCACACCCATCATGGGGCTTGAAGTCACAACCCTGATCAGGAGTTGCAGGTGCTACCAACTGAGCCAGCCAGGCACCCCAGCCAGTGTTTGTTTTGTTTTTGGTTTTTTTTAAAGATTTTTATTTATTTATTTGATTGACGCAGAGAGAGCACACAAAAAGAGGGAGTAGCAGGCAGAGGGAGAGGGAGAAACAGGCTTCCCGCTGAGTGGGGAGCCCGATGCAGGGCTCAGTCCCAGGACCCTGGTTTCATGACCTGAGCCACTTAACGACTGAGCCACCCAGGCGCTCCCCAGCCAGTGTTCTTTATTAGACCCAGCTCTTGGATCTGCTTTGTTTCTTTGCACAGATGTAGAGACATGTGTCCAGAGTTACCCAGGACGGAACTAGTTCAGCATGGTCGCACCCTTGTTGGCCTTAATCTAGCAACCCATTCCAAAAACTCTGACACGGCAACGTCACAGTGCTGAGCAGACATTCTTTCAGGCTGTGCATTCTAGTCTTCAGGTTTAAAGAACATGGTTGCTAAAACTCAAGGCTGAGTGCCACCTACCAGCTGTCTGTTGTCCGCATACAGAGCCAGTATTCGTTATACAAAGAGAAAAAGGGAAAAACTTAATCTAGTAGTGCTCCAGACAGACTCATAAATCTCCCTAACCTATTCTGACTTTGGGTTTTTTATTTCTGGCAGTTCCCAGAATACAGCCTCAGGTAAACACACCTCTGTGTCTACTTCAGTAACACTTTCGTTATCAATACTCTCTTAAGGAACTAGAAAAAGAACTGGAGTTACAGATTGGAATGAAGACAGAAATGGAAATTGCCATGAAGTTGCTAGAAAAGGACACCCACGAGAAGCAGGACACCCTGGTCGCCCTCCGCCAGCAGCTGGAAGAAGTCAAAGCGATTAATTTACAGATGTTCCACAAAGTTCAGGTGGGAGTTGGCTTTGTGTCCGTCCCACAGTCCCACAGCCTGGCTTCCTGCTGCTTGTTGCACACTGCCTCTCGTTCTGTCCCCGCTCTTCCTGCAGGAGAGGGAGGACACATTTGTGAGGCGCTCGCATGCGGTAGGCCCGGTCCTTAGGCCCTATCACATGTTCCTGTGCTTATTTTATTTGGGCCTCCCAGCAGTCCCCAAGAACAGTTTATAATGTGGGGGGAATGTAAGTGACAGGGCAGAACCCAGTGACTGCATCACATGCCTGGGCTGGCCCAGCTCCTAAGTAGAGCTGACAACGCAGCTGTGTCTTCTGAATCCAAACCCGCACTCAGCCTGTTGTTCCCTCCACTGTCTCCCTAGTGTCTGTCCCCTTCTGCTTCAGTGACTAGTTGTCTGCCCCCAGGAGATGGAGAAGCAGAGTAAGGAGCAATATAAGTTAGGATGGTCTTTTCAAGCTTTGCGGAGACGCTTATCTTGCCAAGTCTCCCGCCGCACAGCTAGCGGCCCGTCTCTCCTGTCGTGCTGGAGGTCCAGGGGAGCTGGCCCAGAAAGGGGCAATCATGCCACGGTTTGAAAGCTAGCATCGAAAATCACACAGCTTGGGCGCCTGGGTGGCTCAGTCGTTAAGTGTCTGCCTTTGGCTCAGGTCATGATCCAGGGTCCTGGGATCGAGCCCTGCGTGGGGCTCTCTGCAGGAAGCCTGCTTCTCCCTCTTCCTCTTCCCCTCCCCCTCCCCCTGCTCAGGCTCACTCTTTCTCAAATAAAAAATCTTTAAAATAAAAAATAAAATTGCAAATCTTTCTTGCCCAGAAGCTACGCAGTGCCCAGGACCATCCTCTGTCCTTCTCAAACTTTTTTTTTGAAGTTCTGTTTTCTGTTTTTAATGCCCACACTGCCCCACTTCCTCTTCCCTGTCATGCATCTGTGTGAGAGATGGCGTGAGGGCAGACACGTGTGTTCTTTTGTCCTGCCTTTTTTAAACTCTTATGTAACTGACATTATACATAGTAGCAGCAGTTGGAAATTAAAGTATAGGGAGAAAATGGAAAGTAGTTTTGCTGTTTTCCCTCCTGTACATGCTCTATTTTAATTTGTTTGTGTTTTCTTCTGCTTTGGGTCCGGCTGTAAAGGTAATCTTAATGCACATTAGGGGAAGCCATCCTGCCATAATAACTTAGCAGACCCTAAAATAGCATTCCAGACCAGTGGTCCCTCAGGGACCCAGGCTCCAGCTGCCATGCTTGCCGGCGGAAGGGGAGAGAAAAGCAGAAGTCCAGAGGCAGGATTTCCTCCCAGACAGTGAGAGAAGTTGCACACGTCATTCCACTGGATTCCACAGCAAAGGGCGAGGCAGCACGGCCAGGCATGGCTGCGAGCGGAGCCTGGGGCCGGCGTGCCTGGGCTGCCAGCCCGATGAAGGGGAGCACAGGGGTTAATTGATGTGGTTGTCGCTCTCCCCCATCGGCCCCACGAGCTCCTAGAAGTCCCATCCAGTCCCAGAGTCCTCACTGTCCGCAACCCCTGGGTGTTGGGCAGCACTCTGCACAGAGCCCACCAGGCCTGTGTTTGAACCACGAGACCCAACTGTCTTTCACGTTGACCCATCCCACCCAGCATAGAATGGTGGGTCCAAAACACGATTGCCAAGTGCCTATTTGCCAAGAGAAACTAGGGACACACAGAGCAGACCCCGGCCGGCCGCAGCCCTTGCTGCGTTTCTGGGCAGGAACTGTGAAGGCTCCCCTCTGTCAGCTGAAGAACTTGTCCACGAACCACCGTGGTCCCTGAGACATCCACCGTCTCCATGGCCCATGGGAAGCGGGCTCTCAAGGGGCGCGGGGCCTTCCCAGTGGCCGCGCACCTGTTGCAGCCGGCTCGTTCCTGGCATCAGTTTGCTGGCCTGGAGGTTGTCTGAAGGATCAAACAGTCACAGATGTTCTTCGGGCCTGACTGTGGGTTTTTGACAGTGCAGTGCCCTCGGTCATTTGTGTGTGTGTGTTTCCCCTCAGTCCCTGTGTCAGTGCCCACAGTTTAGTGGCCCGTTTATTAAGCGCAGTTCTCGTGCCTGCCTCAGTCTCTCCCTCCCTCGCTCCCTCCCTCCCCTTAGTGGCCCGCACCCCTGACCTGCTGCAGGATGCCGTGGGGCCTCCGGGCCTCACTTGCCAGTTTCTCTCACTTCCTTCAGGCGCAGAAGCAGGTAGCTTTTCTAACACGTCCGTCCCCTACCCTTGGACTCCGCTTCTGTCTCCGCAGCCCCCTCACTCACGGCCCCCATGGCTGCCCTCCGGCTCTTCACAGCCACAGCGCCTGGAGCCCTGGCGCGGTTGGTGTGGCTTCCACGCCCGGGCTGGGGCAAGTGGCAGTTTTGCTCATTGTTCACGATTAACAAGGGTCACCAGCTCCCCGGCTTGTCACGCCTGCTTTGACGGTGCCCGGCCCTGGTCTGCTGAGTCAGTGCTGCATACTGTACGTTTCCTGGCTCAGGGGCTTCGCGAGTGTCCCTCGGTGTGGGGTCCGCTGTCATAAAACATCCCTTGTTTTCTTTTCTCCTCATGCCCACTCCGATCCTTGTTCCTCTGGGCCCACGTTCTAGAGTGTTTATTTTTGTATGGATAGTTGTCATTCTAAAATGCACATCATCTTGAGGATGTGAATTTTAATTTACATGGGTGGTATTGTGCGTGGCTCTCTTCCTTTTCCCCCCTCAGAGCTACACGCAGCGAGGGGTGCACCTGGTTTGGGCTTTGAAGGGGTTAGTCCTGGTGTATGCGGTCACTGCTTCTTGCCCATCCCCGCAGTGGTGGACGCTGTTCCTGCCACTCCGCTGGCACGAACACCCCTGTAGTGGCTGGTCTATACGTCCCCCCCAGGGGCTCTGGAGGGGTGCGGGGGGGGTGTCTCTCTGGCCCATGCTTTGGGTCCTTGGTTTGTGGAAGCCCAGCCGCATCGCTTTCCAGAAGGGCTGTACGAGCACACGCCGCCCCCTCCAGCGTGCTCTGCTGACATCTGTATTCTGTGTGCTTGTTTTATATGCGTTTGTTCGCCTAGTGAGTGTCAGCAGCATCCCTTTGTATGTTTTTTAGCCTTTTGTGTTTCCTGTTCTTGCCTGTTCATACTTTTTGTCCTGGTTTTCTTTCTTTCTTTTTTTTTTTTAATTATTTTATTATTTTATTTTTTTATTTTATTTATTTTATTTTATTTTATTTTTTTATTTATTAGAGACAGAGAGCAGAAGCAGGAGGGGAGAGGGAGACTCCCCACTGAGCAAGGAGCCTGATGCCGGGCCTGATCCCAGGACCCTGGGATCATGACCTGAGCTGAAGGCAGACCACCAACTGAGCCACCCAGGCCCCCAGTCCTTGTTTTCTTTTTTAAATTGAAATTTAGTTGACATTAGTTGCAGGTGTACAACATAGTGAATCAAGTTCAGTTACACAGAGCTCATCGTGAAAAGTGCAGTCACCATCTATCACCACACAATATCATTACAGTATTATTGACTGTATTGCCTGTCCTATATTTTTCATCCCCAGGACTTCTTTAATTTGTAAGTGGAAATTTTACCTCTTAATCTCCTTTACCTATTTCTTCCATCCCCCACCCCTCTAGAAGCCACCGGTTTGTTCTCTGTATTTTTTTGTCTTTTTCTGGTTTGTTTTCTGGATTCCACATATAAGTGAAATCATATAGTTTTTGTGTTTCACTTTCTGACTTATTTCACTTAGCATGATGCCCTCTAGATCCATCCATGTTGTTGCAAATGGCAAGATCCCATTCTTTTCTATGGCTAAGTAATACTCCATTGTGTGTACACACCACATCTTCTTTATCCGTTCATCTGTTGATGGACACTTGGGCTGCTTCCATATCTTGGCCCTTTGGAAATAATGCTGCAGTAAATGGGTGCAGGTATCTTTTCAAATTCGTATTTTCATTTTTTTCGGTGAAATTACTGGATCGTATAATACTTCTGTTTTTACTTTTTTGAGGAACCTCCAGTCTGCTTTCCACAGTGGCTGCACCAGTCACCTGTCTGTTGGCCATCTGGATGTCTTCTGTAGGAAAACACGTATATGGGTCCTCTGTCCATTTTTAATCAGATTATTTTTAGCTGTGGTTTATTGTAGGAGTTCTTTGTATATTTCGGATACTAACCCCTTATCAGAGATCTCATTTACAAATGTCTTCTCCCATTCAGGAGGTTACCATTTCATTTTGTTGATGGTTTTCTTCAGTATGCAAAAACTTTTTAGTTTGATGTTGTCCCGATAGTTCTTTACTTTTGTTTCCCTTGCCAGAAAAATGTTGCTAAGGCCAATATCCCAGGAGATTGCACTATGCTTTCTTTTTGGATTTTTATGGTTTCAGTTCTCACATTTAGGTCCTTAATCCATTTTGAGTTTATTTTTGTGTGTGGTGTATGAAAGTGGCCCAGTTTCATTCCTTTCTATGTAGCTGTCCAGTTTTCTCAACACCATTTGTTGAAGACATCGTATATTCGTATATTCTTGCCACCTTTATGGTAGATTGACAGTATGAGCTTGGGTTTACTTCTGGGCTCTCTCGTCCTGTTCCATCGATCTAGGCATCTGTTCCTGTACAAGTACCGTATTAATTCTTGCAACCTGTGAGCATGGTCTGGCTTTCTATCATCTTCAGTTCTTTTCAATCCATGTCTTATAGTCTTCATAGTATAGGTCTTTGACACCCTTGGTGAAGTTTATTCTTAGATATTTTATTATTTTTGATGCAATTATAAATGGGTTTTTTTTTCTTAATTTCTTTGTGCTACTTTATTAGTGTATAGAAATACAACAGACTTCTGTATATTAATTTTGTATCTGCAACCTTACTGAATTCATTTATCTGTTCTAAAATTTTTTTGGTAGAGTCTTTCAGGTTTTCTGTATAGAGTATCATGTATTTGCAAATAGTGACAGTTTTACTTCTTTCCTACCATTCTTACCAACTTGGATTCCTTTTATTTCCTTTTG